GTGTACTGACCAGCTCGACCTTGTAGGTCTTAGCGCTGGGCTCAGCTACGTAGATAGCCTCCAGGTCTGCGGGTGCCGCGGCGGCGGGGGCGACGCGCACGAAGGCCTGCTGCACCGACACTGGGTTGTTGTACTTATCGCGCACGCTGAACTTCAAGCTTACTCTGTGAATACATACCTCCATTACAATATCTCTTATATACTTAAATTATAAAGACTAAAGATGTATTTGCTTGCGTTAAATAGGCAAACGATATGTAAATCGTAACACAATTATTTCCTCAATGTATGATGTTATATAAATTGATTCTTTAATTAAATTTTTTTGTTAAAAATTGAATAAAAAATACGAAATTTCAGTTTCCGCTTTTTGTTTCAATTTTGTGAAGTGGATAAATATTTAACTATACTTACTTCTGCAAGTGATCAGCTTGGAGCACCTCAGTCAGCTTGTTGGGGTGTGTGATTGTGGTAATCTTCGGACTGGTTGTACCATCAACATCACCAATGCCCACCTCCAGGCTACTGACTTGAATCTCACCGAGAACAGCTACATTCAGATTGGCCGTCTTAGATCCAGCGCTAAGAGATATCTTATAAAGACCGTATTGTGCCTTGATCTTGCCGAGGTTAAGTACAAAGGTTGTCGGTTCATTGGCTTTCTGTGTTAATGGTTGTTTGGACAACACCACTACATCGTCAGCGAGACGTGTGGCGGACTGGGCGACGACTTCCTCGGGCTTCAGACCGCGGACTGGACGACCAATGAGGTCAGTGATCGAAAACTCAACAGAGTCTGACTCGGAAGTTACGTATTTCTTGCCCTTGATTACTATGCAGATAGGAGATGGCTGTAAAATTATTCAATATTTAATTAATATTTTTAATAAATACATCTTTTATTTATAATTTACATTTTACATTAATTTAAAATTACTATTAATTATTCATAAAATTACGTATATTAACATAGTTACCTCGTCGTCAGCGAGTGCGGTGGCGGCCTCAAGCAGCAGTGCGGCGCCGCGCGGCGTGCTCACCGACCTTCCCGATACGTAGGTACTGAACTTGTAGCGCTGCTCCTCACTCAGTGGTGATGCTTTCTTAAGGCTTTTGTATGTCCTGTATACAAAGGTAAAAAAAAAATAGTTCTCATCTAAATAAAACCACTACACTTACAACAAATAGGTTTTATATTTTCATGGATTTAAACTTACAGAGTGAGTAAATTAGAAAAATCTGTGAGACAAAAGCCAATACAGACAAACAATCAAAGTTGCCATAGTTATTTATTTTCTCAACCAATAGCAGGGGCCTTCATTGTCATTTAAGCATTTGTATTTTGACTTTTGCAGGATGTAGACTATAAAATGTTTTATTACAAAGTCATCTGGATGAGGATTTACATGAACAGCTAGTTGAAAGGTAAACTAGAAAATTGTTACAGATATAACAAACTTTGAAAATACCAGTACAGATACAGATAATGAATTTCTTATGTTACCTTGCTATGCTACCAAGTACGAGTGCAGTGGCAGGAAGGCCTCCATCAAAGTGCAGCGCGCGGGCGTCAGTCTCGTCAGCAGCTAGTAGCACACCCTCAGCATGTGAAGCTGTCCATGTGCCACAACCCATGTGCTCACACAATGCAAACACATACCCATAGCTGCAAGAAAATGTTTTAATTATTAAAAACCAATGGTTATCACTATATAAAACTTGCTGATATTAAAACAAATGTGCAAGTATGATTCACACTTATTTCTCTTTACAATACTAGTATGGATTTTTAGCAAAAACTCACTTGGCTGGAGAATCATCTTTCTTTAACAACTGTATAAGATTCTTCAGGGAGTCCTCTTTGTCCATGATGGTGCCTTTGCCCATAGCCTTCAATGAATATACTGCATAGTATATTTCTTGTAGGGTAGCATCTTTCTTGTCCAAAGTCCTTGTGGGAGTGCCAAGGAGGTCTGGGTTCAATATGGTCAAACAATTTGCCAGTGCTGCTGCATTTGTTACATAAAACACTTGCTCCAAGTTTGAAATATCATATTTTAAACTTTTCAATACCTGTAAAATAGTATTTATTGACATTCAAACTGAACTTTATGCTAAAGTGACTATGAATATGAAACAAAAATGTTAAACTTAATTTAATTGTATTATTTAATTTACTGGATATAAAATACATTGAAGATTAAAAATAATAACAGAGATGCTATCAATTGAAGTTACTTACATCACAGACTTCTGGTATTTTGGCATTTATTTGCTTTAAGCCTTTGATGGCAAAGTAAAGAGCGCCTACATCTTTACTTTTTAAACCTTCCTCTAAAATCCCCTGCAGTTTCTTCACATTAACTGTACTTTGGAGGATATTTGCTTGACTAAGAGCCAAGGAACTTACAAAAAGTAAGCATAACACTGAAACAAGTAAATTACTATAAGAAATGAAGTATTTAATAGTTTTGCATATTATTGATGTAACCTATTCGGCAATTTTTCTCGCCGGTAGTAAGCAATGACGTGGCCCAAACAAATTATTGAAAAAAAGCAATAATGTAAAGTGTTGACTTAACTTGAATAGGGGCAAAAAAAGATTATAATTTGGTTTATACAATAAAAAGGCGTCTTTTCAGTTATCTTCAGGGAGAGTTCGGCCACGCCAGTACTACTTATTTATTTACTTAACGATGAAGAATTATACATACCACGGTTATACATATTTATTTCTGGTAAACACGAATATAACTTAGATCGTGTTTATGCTATTTCTAAGATATATCTAGCTTATTTAAGACATAAATGTAGATTACATTAAAATAATAGTTTTTGTCCACCGGCGTTGATTATTTGACAGAAACGCAAGACGTAGCATTGTGTGTTGCTCACATTACAGACACTCCAATGACCTTAGTTTCAGGTTTTGCTTAAGTGGAAACAAATCCAGTGAAAAGAAAGATACAAAACTGTTTTTAAATCCGTAATAAAGAGCATTTTATTAAAATAAATATTAAAAAGAAATATTTATTTTCTTGGACTAGTGTTTTTATTTGTGGAAACACCATTTAAAGGTAAATTTTGACATTTGTTTCAGCTCTGAACCGAATCGAACCTTTTCATTCCGAAATTAACATTTCGGATTCGCCTGATTAATTCATTTGTTTCGATTAAATAAATTAACACCATGGCAAACGCAATCGCTAAAGTGCCATCATTGATTTCGTGTAAGTCAAATTAAATATTTTATGTGTGATATATTACTATTGATTGTGTTATGTAATTTACGTTAAAAACATGAAGGTTATCATTACCAAGCATTGGTTATTTTAGTGCATTTTAACAATTAAATTCGTTTTGTCCTACAGCGGCCCTCACACAAGCCAGGCCTAAGTTCAACATTTTCATGAAGTACGCCCGAGTTGAACTAGCGCCCCCTAAACTGAGCGAAATTCCTCAAATCAGAGCTGGTATTGGTAAACTTCTATCGAGCGCGAAGAGCGGAGCATGGAAACAGCAAACCGTGAAGCAGGCTACACTTAACACACTCGTTGGTGCCGAAATTCTTTTCTGGTTCTATGTTGGAGAATGTATTGGAAAACGCCACATTGTCGGATACAACGTTTAAGTTTCTAATAAGTGTAACTAATAAATGTAGATATTTCATTCGCTAAAATAAATATTTAATCAGTTAAATGTGTCTTTTAGCTAATAAAACCTTTTGTTGATAAAATAAAACCTCATTTTTTTGTTTGCATCTCAGTCCAGTTCAGCATTAAATTGATTTAAATAGCCAAAAACTGTTACTGTTGCCAGTAAGACTACTAAGTAATTTATTTGTTAAAAAATGTATTTGGCAGATGAAATAAAACAATTCATCATCTATAAATACTATTTAATGGCAACATTATCTACAGTGGTGCACAGAGCTCCATGAATTTATAAGGATTACAAGCACTGGCCAGTTTCAATTCACTTTCAAGTTGTTCAGGTCCTCGCAGCCAAAGTCTGTCCCTGTAGTAACTAGCACATGTTAGGAACTCCTTGTCCGAATACCTATTAACTTTTACTGGAACAAATGGGTCCAAATGTTCAAATCCCTGAAAAATTAAAGAGACATATTTTGGTTCTATTCTAAATATGGTAAGATTTGTACACAAGATTTTAGTGATGTTACAATACCTTCTTGTAAAGTAAATATCTAGGCAAGTAGCTCTCTTGATGATCTCTTGGTACAGCAATATCCTCCACTGTTAACACAATTACACCATTTTTCTGTAAACATAAGAGATTTAAGACATTACACAGGGTCTTTCAACACTTTCTTCAGAAAATATATAAAGAAGCACTATGTACAGGTACTAATAATTAAAAATGTTGAATTTATTCATCCATTCAAAACTTACCCAATCATTCTTTGTAATCTCCATAAATGAAGTTGTTAAAGAAACTTCTTCTGGCATAACAACTTTTTTTGTAGGAGTGCGGAGTCTAGTCCGTGGGTAGAAGAAACAATTGTATCCATCTATTGCTACAAATGTTTTACACCTAGAATAAAAAAACATCTTTAAACACTGATACTCAATTTTTAAGCATATTCTTCAGTCTTCAATTTTTTTTTTATTTATTCATCATTTTACAAATAACTAAATGTCAGTAGTCTAATGTAACATCTTCAGGTATTATTGTGTACAATTTCCTGGTAATAGAACAGAGCTTAGAAGGAATGGTTAAATGAAGTGTTAGTAAATTAACAAAAATATGCAAATAATAAAACAAAACAAGGATACAATTCTCTTACTTATTATTATTTGATAGCAGTTTAATTTCGTAGATTAGTGCGTCGATGACGTCACAGGCGTATTTTACACGCGCAATGCCTTGCTCCACCAGGTCGGCGAGTGAAGCGCCCGCGGGCGTCGTCTCTCGTTTACTCCAAACATAGTCTTTGGATATTTTAAGCTGTAATAAATTTTAACTGTCACAGTAAACTGTCATTAATCCTACACTTTACCTTCATGTTGTTGTACACATAAACACATTATAGTGTGTCTACAAAAGTCTTAACATATAAATTCTGTATTATCATAAAGTTTACTTTTCAAGAGTCAAAATAAAATTTATTTAAATTAAATTCAGCGATTATTTTCCAAAAACAAAATGTTTACAACACAATAGCCATTTTCGACATACATCTTCATTCTTCAATAGCACTTGGTTTTGTGTCTTGAAGTGCAGAAGCCAAGCCGCGGCGTCTAGTGGGAGGTCCACAAAACCCTCTCTTGTCTGCGAGTTGGACATCTCCTTCAGGCGAGGCACCTTCCATAGCCACTGTGATACTATACAACAAGAGGTCACAACATAAAGTTATACTAGCACATCTTTTCTCTTTATGATATTAGATAACTAAGTACAATCACATGATCTATATTTATTTTAATCTGTTACTAACCTTAAGCCACAATTATGTCAAAATTTATATGAAAAATATTAGTTTAACATGCCCAAATAGGATAAAGTGGGAAATTCAGGTCTCCCATCTTGTCACTCAGCAATAACAGTATTTAATATTGATAAAAAAAGTTGTCTAAAAATGATACTCACCCCCAGGTACATGTACAATTAAAAAGCCATCATCATGTGCATAATGTATGAGATGTGCCATGGTCAATGTCTTCCCTGCTCCCATCTCACCATCTGTTTGCCTTATTAAGGAAGTGTATTGAACAATCTCACTTTCTCACTCACAATAACATTTAGAACCACCAAGATATATGAGAACTATTATACCTGTAGTTCTCTCTCTCACTCAGTTACAGAAGTAGTATGAATATATTTCATGTAAAGGATATGCTCAAGATGTGAGAGACAGCTTATTGACATGTATGGAAGAGTAATACACACATCCATGGGAAACAGAACAGGAAGATAGTGATGGCTTAAAAAAAACTTGTAAAAGGATACATAGTACATATCTGACTGCAGGTTGGTTCAAATCACTTGATTTGATACAATTAATAACATCAAGAGCCGGCTGTCGCACCATGAGACTTGTTTCTGTAAACGTTTTTGTCTGTTTTCTATAACTATTTGGCAAACCGCCTTGGCCAAACAACTTTTTGGACAAATTTTTGTCCAAAGTATAAAATAATCCTATTTGGTTATCATTTTGCTGCGCCTATAAAAATAATGACATAATATTCTTATTAAATATCTCTTAATTTGTTACCAATTTATGGAACCAAATTGTTATCAAAGACTTCTTACCGGGGATGCTTCAACAGTCCTGAATGTGACATTTTGTGAATATCTCCGGCAGATATTTCTTAAGTTTCGGGAAAACATTGTTTTTTGTAACCTATTGTTACAAACAATCTTAAATTATTTTCAATTATATTTTGAAAAGCATAACATAACCTTAAATTGAATTGTCAATGTCAGTGGTCTGTCAATCTACATACGTTCGAAAACATAATATATTACAATATCTATCGAAAACCACACCTAATAACCAGCAAACAGCTGGCCGATAATTTAAGAAACCCATGTTCTGGAATCGTTTCGTTACGATTACGTTTTAAATAAATTCTCTGGTAAAATCTGTAAAATTAGACAGCATTTATTTCAGACTGGTCGTAGTCATTACCCATATCAAATGCTTAAAATGAAACTGTTTTAGGGTATATCTCAAAAATTGTTAGGTTTTTCACTTTTCTTTTTTAGTTCATCTGTTGGGCTTCAGCGTCGGGCAGAGAGTATTTCAAGGATTTCAAATAAAACAGGCTTTATGTGGATAAATATGTTAGAGTAACTTTTATTTTATTAAACTTAATTCTAATATTTTAGATTAAAGATAAGATTATCTTGTTTAACAATTTTTAATGTTTATGCTGCCGTCGTTTCTTGAAAATACTCACAGGTTTTTTATGTCTGCTTTCTGACACTTGTTCCTTGGATGAATCTTTTTCCTTAACATCGTCAAGTACTATTACGAGATTTGCGCCATTATCCTTGGTAAAATGGAAATTGACTTTCTGAGTTTGTTTTTTATCATTGCTTGGTTCTTTTATTTCTGATTTAGGTTTAGGTTTTCTCAATATAGAGGTAGTTTCAGGGAAGAGATGAGGAAATGCTTCATATATGTCACTTGGCTTTAATATCCCTAGTAATGGTTCATATGGTTTATCATATGCTGGTACATTAGAATGCTTAAAAGTTATCTCCAATGTTTCACTTTCATCTTGATCAGCAAAAGACACGCTTCTTTTGACATTTGCACTGTTTTTATCTTCTTCCACATCTGCAGGTTCAGGTTCATAAAGAATGTCATCTAACCTGTAATTTCATTCAAAAGAATTAACATATCTATACTAATATAATAAAGCGTAAACACACTACTTCGTGGCGTAGAATGCCAGCAATCACAGCATATTTTTGAATAATTCTTCCTTTAATAAAAAGGCCTAAACTTACAACGTGCTTTAAACTATATATTTTCACACTATTAAATTTAGCCGTAAATAAATTGGAAAAAATCCTTCATGTGTGAAAGGGACCATAAACTGCCAAAATCAAGGATTTTGAGATTTTCAATTAAGAATTTGATAAATAAAATAAAGTTTTTATAATTTCATGCGGATGAAGCTGCACAGGAACAGCTAATTACATAAGGAAAATGTATAATATGCATTTAGATGTAATTTAATGCTTATGATAATCTATCAAATCTATAATACATGTATAACTGAAGCAATTATAGTGAGAGTAAATTATACCTATCCATTTCATCCTCCACTTCCTCCAACTGCTCCAACTCATCCAGTCGAGATACCAAATCAGATTCAGTTTTGGTGACATTTCTCTCTCTGTTTTTAATATCTGCTATTTTTTCCTCCAGTTCTTTTTGTTTATCTAAGACATTCTGTAAAATTTCCAATCTATTTGTATTTTCGGGATTTATTTGTGTTGCATCACACGCTGCTGTTTCTGTTATATTATCATCCAACTTAAGATTTTCAACATTTTTAATATTTTCTACCTCCATTTCAATAGGTGTTTCTTTTGGGATATCATGATTGTTGTTTGCAACATTATCAATGTTGTCTTCTTTTTTGATATTTTTTAATGCATCTCTTATATCATAATTTTCAGTATCTTTGGTTAGTTCATTTTGTAATTCCTCTTGAAGTTCTAACTCTTCAAGTCTATTCCACAACTCCTCATCAGATTTTTCGTCTTTATTCACTTCTTCCTTTTTTATTTTTTCATAGTACTGTTTAACTTTCTGTTCATGTAGTTCTCTCCAGAGTCTGTCTTCATTATCAGTGTGGTACTCAATTATTTCTGATCCAGAATTATCAAAAATAGTTTGGTTTTTAAACTGTACTTGACTTTCCAGATATTCTTTCTCTATTATTGCTAAATCCAGTTTTGATTTAGCATCTATAAGAATTAATTTATGATACACATTATTATAAATAGAATATAAACAATTACTAAACTATGTTTTTGTACAAATATTATGAGAACTACACCATTGTTAAAAATGACCATGGTAAGAAGAGAAATAAAGATTTACTATTTAATGTGTTACCTTTTATTCTGTGTTGTCTTAAAATCTCAGCCTGTTCTGTAGAACACTTTGCAAAGTATCCCTGACCCAATGATGCTGTCACTTCATTTGTATGCTTTAATTCCCCACGGAATAGAATTCTATTGCCGATTGGTACTAACACTGGGACTTTTAATTTATCTGAATACGATTTAAATTGAACATCATTCAAAGCTTTTAGGTAGTCCTCCCAAAATCGAATTTGTTCACCATTTTCTTGCAATGCCTAAATTAAATATTTTATGTATTAGTAGAAGACAAAATATACGTGTTAATGAAACAAGAATTAATTTTTTTTTCATACCTTTTCATAAATTTCATTGAAGAAGTTCATTCTACGTCGATTTTACGAAAGGCTATTCAAATGACTTTTCACTAGTTATGCAGCCAATTGATTGATGTTATCCAATTTAACAAATGAAATACCACATTATTAATCTGAATAATTTAATTACCATTTAAGTTAATAATCGATATTATTTTATCGGACCGGAGAATGGAGAACTCCGACCAATCAATGAATCAAAACATAAATGTCAAACGTCAAAAACATTCCAAACCAAGAAAAATGACCAAAGGAAAAATAGTTTTGATCATTACTGTTTAAGCAAATCATGCAAAATCTTAAATGACGTGCCAGAGTAATTTAAAGAGAACTCTCAAGAAGCGACGAATAACTTTATCATCCGTTTTCTTTATAATCGTGAGATTGGAAAAGGCAACAATGAAGTGACGTTACGTAAAACTGAACGTGAAGCGATCGATGTCAATATTTTCGCCAACAAAATAATATCCTGTCATATAGACAGTTAAATACTGTGCAGTGTTGTAGTGACTGCTGGATTTATAATGAATTTCAATAAAATAATTCGATAAATAACCCCTATTTTGTAATTTATCGTTCTTTCATCTGATAGAAATGGCAGAAAGTAAATCTATCTTACACGAACTATATGTGTTTTCCGAATGGAAACCAGAACCGGAATATTTGGTAAATTTTATTCAATAATTTAAATTATTTGATGTTTCGTTACTTTGAGCTATTAATACATTTGATATAATTACAGCAAAAACACGACAGCATTTTACCGGAAAATATATCAGCGCTTTGGCGATGGTTTAAATTTTTTGGGCCTAAAAAAAGTCTTATTGATAGTGTTACAGCGTAAGTATTTCTTATAACATTCCTTTGAAGATAGGGACAACGGATATAGTACCTAGTCAATATAATATCTTTAGCTTCTTATATCACTTTAAAAAATAAACATCCTAACAACATACTTTTAAATGTTTTCAAGTAATAGACTACATACATTTTTTCTTATTTATTCACCGTTGTTAAAATAAAATATTGTGGTTTTTATTTCATTAAATTATTTCAGACATAAGGAGAAGCAACAGAAGTGGCACATTGCTCTTGGTGATGAAGGGAAAGTGATAGCAGTGCTTACCGACAATATCTTAGAAATCAGAACTAAGCGGTCGGAATATGCCACTATCGCAGCTAGAACTACAGGTTATTATTATTTTTGTATATCTGTATGCAACAAAACTACAGATTAGACTAACATACAGATTTGAAAACCAAATTGCAAAACACTGTTGAATGACTGAAGTAAAAGATATTTCAATAATGTAAAAATGAAAATGATCTATTGATGTAACAATAGATTATACAAATTTATCAGATGTAGGGACTTCCTTTTAAGTAACCAATATCACTGTGTTAGGAAGTCTGAAGAATGTGAATTAAGCAATCTGTTTTTAAAGTGTAATACATGAGTGCTGAATAAAGGAGAAAAATACAAGTATTTTTTTTTAGTAGGTTATAAATTTTTAAGTAAATGAGTAATGTTTCAGTTAGTCGTGATGCATACGCGCAATGGCGCAAGCTGGTGTGGAGTCCGGACTGCTCATTCTTGGTGCTTGCTTATGGCAACGGAATAGTTAGCTTTTTCGACCTCACTGCCTCTAATCTCTTCAATATTCCAGCTGTAAGTAATTTTTTATTATATTTGTAGTTTAAATAAAAAAAAGGCTGATAGTAACTGTGATATTGTTTTAATTTCTAAGTAAATTGAGTTATAAAAAAAATATTAAAACAATTATTTGTAGGATTGCTCAAGACCGGGCGGGCTGGAGTGTACAGATAATACTCATGCTGTGTCTGACATCATATTTATGCCGCTAAGGGTCAAGGATACCAAATGGTAAGAATCTAATGTGCTTTGCTTTTCATTAAATGATAGCAAGAATACAATAGGTGTTGTCTTGCAACTGTAATAAGAAATTTTACTAATCTTATAGGTGTAAAAGTTTTAAAGGAGTTTGTTACCAAATAACTCTACAATGGATAAAGGAATCAAGGTGAAATTTGGATCAGAGATAGATTACAGTCTGGAATAGGCTACTGTTTACCTTTTTTTTTTTAAATCCTTGATAGTTAATAACAACAGCCATTCTTCATAACGAGATCAATGTTATTTTTGTATCAGCGTATATTTGTCTCGAAGATGGTGTTCCATGTCATCTTTGGTAATATATGTTAGGAACTGCGAGGTGCTGGTGGTGACGTTCGACGGGCGGCTGCGCGGGTACGTGGTGTCGCAGACGGAGGGCTTCAAGCTGCGGCACAGCTTCCGCTTCCCCGCCGGCGTGGCCGCGCTCGCCTACTGCCCGCCGCACGACGCGCTCTACGTCGCCGGCGTGCCCAGGAATACTAAGGTATTATCTATACTAATATAATAAACGTCAAAGTTTGGATGGATGGATGTTTGTTAGACTTTGTAGTAACCGGCTGAACAGATGTAAGGTAGGAAGAATACATAGGCTACTCACTTTTTTTTAGAGTCACGGGCGAAATAATATAAAATAATAAACGTAATGGCTTCACCTTACTATGTATATCCAAAACGGCTCAATAGATTTCGCGAACATTTGGCATAGACACAGAACATAGTCTGGAAGAACACATAGTTTACAAATTGAGTTTTTATTTGAATGTGTAATATATGCAAATGTTTTGTTTCGTTTTCTTGTTTAATTTTGTTAATTAATACTTTGTATTTGTAAATAAGAGGTGTATGTACTGCGTCAGGATACGTCTCCACTGAGCGCGGGAGTGACGGCGTGGCGCATCCTGAACGAGGAGCCCTTCTACAAGCTGTCCGTGGTGTCCGACCACCTGGAGACGCAGCTCAACAACGAGAGATTCAACCTATACATACCTTTCATCACCTCCAAGAATATGGTGAGAACACTTTGACCATTGTTTTTTGTCTGTACTGATAGTATATTCTTCTTCTTCTTCCGTAGCTCTACAGCCCTTTGTGGGCCTTGGCTTGGTCCAGCAATTTTTTCCATTTCGGCCTATCTCTGGCCACGGTCCTCCAGTTCGCTATGCCAACGGTTTTCACATCTCTACTTACGCCGTCTATCCACCGGAGCTTTGGCCTCCCTCGACTTCGACGGCCCTCGGGATTACTTGTCATGACGCATTTAGGAACTCTAGTGTCGTCCATGATAGTATATTGCTAATTGTGAATACTTTTTTTATGCCGAGTATGCGAATACAAATTGTTTGTACTAATAGTTGTTAATCGTTCGCTTAAAACCTAATTTGTTATGAATATATCAGCGAATTGATAGATTTTATTGTTTAAAAATTAGAATTTATCATACTAGTATTGTAATTGCGAAAGTTTACTTAGATACACTACGTATATCCAAACTGCTGAAAACGGATTTCAATAAAATTTGTGAGTGATGTAGAAATATAGTAGTTACGTAGGCAGACACGTTACTATTTTTTTATAAATTCCGCTCGGACAAGGTCACTGGCAAAATTTAGTTTCCATACACGAGCTGACAATTTTGCAGAACTTCGTGGTGCGTATGGAGGTGTCTAGTGACAGCAGCAAGCTGGTGTGCGTGCACTGCAACGGCGAGGTGTCAGTATGGCGGCTGCCACTGCTGCGGCTGCTGCAGCGTTGGCCGCTGGCACGCCAGCCGCACCACCGCCTGCGCAGCCCCCTGCAGCCCCCGCAAGCACCCCACACCCCGCACACCAAGCACAACGACCCCGCCCTCTACTACCCCGCTGATGTCAACTGGTGGACCAATGAGGTCAGTATTGTTCTCTTGAAGAAATCATCCCCAACGATGTAAGGATGCGTTCACGAAAGCTACAAGCGATGGCACAGTGGGCTAAAATCTCAGCTTACAAAGACATTTTCATCTGATATTTTGAGTATCTATGTAAGCCGTGATTTTAGTCTACTGTGCGTCGTCCTAAAAAAAAGAGTACTTTTTTTATAAGTATTATCTTTTTAAGTAATTTTCTCCGATTCTTGAAATGCGTTGTCTGTCGTATAAAGTATTGAGTGTTTATCTTAGAACGTTCATACAGGCCGTAGACTATTTTTACGTTTGAAAGCGAAAGATATGCAAAATTTAACCTTGTGTCAATCGTATAAAGCTCAATTTTATTTGCGATTATAAATCTGGTCTGCCTTCCCTTTCTTTCTGTAAACGGAACCTAACACATACAGATTTTAGCGGTAACCACAATGCAGTTTATAGTGGTAAACCACTATGTAGTTTATTTTGTGCACGTACACAATATAACGTACGATGCAACGTACAAGTACACAAATTAAAAACTAACACAAGACAATATGAAACAATGAATACACGTAAACAAAATGGCGGGCGAGAGGGCAAACGAGCGAGGTGTCAGCACAGTGTAGCAGCGCGAGGCGACTGTTTGCCGGCCGGCGCGGCGCGGTGCATGATTTCGCATTTTGCACGTTGTGCGTGCGCGCCGCGGGCGGCGCTCTGCAGCGCGTTGAAATTATATATATAAATGTCGAGTGTGCGTGTTTGTCTGTACGTGTTATAATAATATTTGTATGTGAATATATATGTGATGAGTTTTGCGTGTGTAATGTTCTGTTGTGAATGTGTGTGAGTGAATGTTATAAATAAATGATAAATAAATAAATGTAGTGTTATATATAAATAGATAGATAATTAAATAAATAGATAAGTACACTACAAGATTATATCTATGTGAGGTAAATTAAGTTTTATACAAAACTATAATGAAATATTTGCAGGAATTAATACTATCGCGGTTCAGCGGCGCGGTGAGCGTGTGCGGCATTGAGGACATGGATAACATTCTCGGCAAGCAGCCGGAATTCTTCCAGGGCACGCCGCGGGTTTGTAAAACTGTTAAAAAACAAACTATACTAAGTGCTTATCCTTGTGTTTATACAAATCGAATATTAACACTAATTACTGTTTTTGTAGGTGACGCGCGCTCACGATGGCGCGTTTATGGTGCTGGAGTGTGAGTCTAACGTGCTGCCCGCAAAGAAGTCCTCCAGCGATGAAACTGTAAGACTTATAATATACTGGAATTACTTTCAAATTTTCTATAAAACACTTCTAAAAATCATGCTAAATAGAAAACTGCAACTTTGTCGTATGAAAAAATTCTAACCTTAGAGTAAACTCAAGCTATTGTTTTGATAATTCTATCAAAAAAACCTATATGTGTGGAATTTATTTCTATGTGTATATTTGAATTATAATTTCTCTAGATGGAGGTTGTCAAAGTGGAGGAGGAGGTGGATGAGTCGATGCTGGAGCTGACCAAGGAGTTATTCAAGACGGTGCTGTTCGCCATCACCGACATGGAGACTTTCCAGCCCAAGCCCAAGAAGATCACCGTCGTCTCCCGCGTCTACAGGCTGCTCGGAGTCAAGAGTACCACGCCTACTGAACTGTTTTCCAGAAAGGTGAATGACTATTTCTAATCATTAATTCCTTCATTCCTTCATCCCTTCATTCGTTCAGTGGATGTTTTGTTAGAGTTTGTGTCCTAAACGGCTGAAATAATCTCAATATAATCTGGCATAGATGTAGAGCATAATCTAAAAAAAATTGGTTAGTTTTTTTAATTTCTCGCGGACGTAGTCGCAGGCAAAAGCAAGTAATATCTAAATTTTCTTGTGTAAATGTAATAAAAGGGTTAAATGTATTAGATCGAGAGTGGCAACTACACAGAGGCGCTGTCCTTGGCGGAGCAGTTCGGTCTGGACAGCGACCTGGTGTACCAGCAGCAGTGGAGGAAGAACCCTGTCTCTACTGACGCCATCGACAACTACCTGGTAATATAAACAGCCCGAATTCTTTACTAACGCTACCAAAATTACTAGAGGCTTTCCGGGACTTCTTCCTTTCATAATAATTTTATCAGCGACTAGCTGTTCCTGTATGTATTCTTCCGTATTTTAACCATGACAATTTTTACAAAATTATTCTATATAAATATTATGAAAATATATAGCTTATCATTGAAAAAAAGAAGAAAATTAAAAACATGCTGTGATTTCTGACATATATGATGTCAAACTTGTTACAAATATCTGATATTTGAGTGTTTTCCTTGTATCAGAGCAAAGTGTCCAAGAAGATCTGGGCGGTGCACCAGTGCGTGGACCGGCTGCCGGAGACGCTGCTCGCCGCCAACGACCTGCTGCGCTTCGGACTGCGCCTCACCAACGACAGGATACTAGACGGTGACACACATACTTGTGATAGTAGAGAGAAAGAGAAAGAGATATGAATGGAAAGTGAGAAGGAGGTAAAGAGAGTTGGATAAAAGTAGCAAGAGGAAAAGAGGTAGATGGAAGAAAGTGAGTTGAAGAGGGAAAAGGACGAAGGGACGTATGGAAGCAAACAGAGGGAGGGGCGAAAAGATATAGAGGGAAAGAGAGAGTTGATATAATTAAGCCTTTGTCATGATTTAATTTATAAATTTAGATTATTACACAGTTATAGTTGTGCAGCATATATCTACGGAATGAATGTTTTTAATATTTAGCAGCTGATTTTATTGGATTTTTACCAGAAATCAACAAAGATCGTGGCGAGAAGTTGACGGACCCGGAGGACATAACGCTGGAGGATCTGAACTCGTACACCAGCGAGCTGCTGCGCTGCCGGCACGTGATGCTCTTCTACAAGGAGAGGCTGCGACTCTATGAGGTATTATAAAGTTTGCATGGAATATAATTGTAACAGAGTAATTAACTTTAATATTCAGACCACTAACTTCTACCAGAATAATGCACTATTCTAATACCTCTGAATGACATTGACAGATGTCAGATAGGGATGGAACGTATATGCCAATAATCTAGTGATGTGCCAATCTTCCAGCGCAGTACTGATTTTCTTCTTAACAGAATTCTTCTTCCAGAATTAGGCATAGATGAAGAACAGTCTAGAAATAAGCTGCTAATAATTTTTTTTTAAGTCCATGCCTTCTAAGCCTAAGCAACCGCTACTAAATAAATGTTTTTTCCCAGTCAATAATGAAATGCGAGAAATCGACGTACAACAAAGAGGAGTACGACTGCCTGCGTAGCAACAGTGTAGTGCACAGCGCGGTGGAGATGGCGAAGGAGGGCCGCGTCGAGGCGCTCACCTGTCTGTGGCCGCACATCCGCTCCGTGCACATGCAGATGGCGGTGCTGGACAAGCTGCCCGAGACCATCAACCCGCTCGACTTCCAGCACATCCTGCCCACCCCGAAACCGCTGCAAATGTTCGAACATAGACCCCCAGTTAAAGTGGAACCCCTAGAGATCGAGAAGGATTGGTGCAGGAAACAGATCTTCAGGTAAATTACATATGGACAAATCTATGCAAATTCTTCAATATGGGATTTGTGATTCAAATTTTACTAAGAGAAAGTTTGGATGTATGGATGAATGGATGGATGTTTGTTTTTTCATAGAAAAAGGGGGCATACTAGCAGCAAATCGCTTAATATTAATTGATCCGATGCCCTTGAATTTCTACAACGCCACGGAAACTGCAAATATGCTGCGGTATTTATCAAAACGATACTTACTAGTTTTTTTTTTATACAAAAAGATGGCAAACGATCAAGCGGCCACCTAAATCCGCCAAAATATGCGAAGCGACCGCTGCCCATAGACATCCGCAATTGCCGATGCGTTACCTTCCTCTAATTGACGGAGGAGGAGACGCACATAAAGAGGATATTTCCCCTTCCTATGCGTCTCCTCCACCGTTAAATCCACTTTTCTTCCAATCCTTCTCTTATAAGCAAAAGGTGGGACGGAAAAATGACTAAAATTGGGCCTCCGGCACCACACTCATCAGACGAAACACGAAATTGCGTCCACTTCACGCCTGTTTTCTGTGTGGTCGTGGTATTTCACCGGACGAGCCGGCCCATTCGTACGAAGATGTC